GTCTACCCTTATCACCGTTAAAATTTCATCGCGTGGTTATAATTGTCCGGTAGTGTTTTTATTTTTATTTTTTTTCTACAAATCGAAATGATCTGAAATTTGGAGAGTATATACAATTTACTAAGGTGCATCTAATAAAAATATAAAAAAAAATTATCCGTAAATTTTTTTGACCAAAATACCCTTGAAACTTTTCATATGTATTTTGGTCCAATTGTTTCATATAAAATCTTTTTTTTTATATATTTTTCAAAGATTCCACTATTTTTGATGAATACATAATCCAAATTTAAAGTCATTCCGATATTTAGAAAAAAATGAAAAATAAAACACCACGTTCACCGCACGATGAACTTTAGGCGGTGATGGGCATAGACAAAATCACTGTTTATTTTCGCCTATAAGCGTTGGGTAGTGTTTTCCATATATATATGAGAAATGATCCTATAGGACCCTCCTCCATCAATGTGTATATGACCCCAAAGGATCACCATTAAATTTGACACAGATCTAGAGAAAAATCAAGTCTCACATCCATGTGATAACTTTTTTACAGATCTGTGTCAGCTTTAATGGTGATCATTTGAGGTCCTACACACATAGGTAGAAGAGAGTCCTATAGGATCATTACCCTATATATATTTATTGTTGCTATAGTTATCAATGCCTAGCAATCGACTCGGGCTAGGATTGATTTCAAGGAGAATTACGCAAGTCAAAACAATAGTCCTACAAGCCTCAAATTTGCACGAGTCGTAGCTCATATACTTACAAACTTGAAGTACCTCAATTTTGAAATAGAAATGAAATTGTATTGTTTATTTACTCCCTCAAATTAAATCCTAATATGGGATTATTTTTAGGGCCAAAATATGGGTGTGGTTTGTATAGAGCTTAGGCTCTAAATAATCATATTCCAGCCTACTTTCAAATAGTATCGATAAATGTGGTTTTAATATTGAAAATCTTTGTGATAGCCTAAAAATATTTTTTTATTTTTATTTATCAAGTTTAAAGCTTAAAAAATAGTGTAGATTGATAGATCTATGAAAACTTAAAAATCTTAAAAATTGACGGTAAACAATGCATTACAAAATACACTATTTCCAAACTTTAAAATCCATTTTTTTCTCATGTCCATGCATCTTGATGTTGAGATGATCAATTTGAGGATATTTGGGCATCAAAACAACCTTTTCTAGTGAAAGTTTTGAGATAGGGTCTAATTTGATTGTTTATAGCCTCGGCTCTATATAAACTTTTCCCCCAAAATATTCCATACCCCGCATATGAGAGTAATCTTAAGAGTATAAATAGTACTTCGTCCCTGTCCTTCGCATAAAACACAATCTAAAAGTAATTTTAAGATATCAAATTTTGGGGATACAACTTCTTCAACCAATAGACTAACTTTAGGGTAAAATATTATAATATCTTAAGATTGAATAAAGACCAACTAATTTTTAGAAAGTGAAGTAAGTGTTAACAAAATCAAAATTTCTTTTTTTTTTGGAAAATAATCACCAAAAATTGTAGTATCTTGAGATTGAACAGAGACCGTTTAATTTTTAGAGAATAAAATATAAGTGTTAACAAACTCAAAATTCAAATTTTTTTTTTTTGTGAAAATAATCATCTAGTGATTCTTATGTGGTTTACAAAATTTTAGATTGAGAAAAACGTCCTCAGTAGGTCTCCTCACCGAGGGTGTACATCTACTCTATGCTCCCACAAGAGTGTATACTCATTTTTGGATTCCGAGCCTGACTTCCACGTGCACTGTATTTAAAGGGTGCCGTTTGACCGTCTAAACAGTCAAAGTAAAGTGCACCTTCAAATAGTGTTGTGGTTTCAATAATGAAGATCATTGTGATAGCTTTAAATTATTTTTATATCCAATTATAAAATTTAAAGCTTCAAAAATAGTATAGATTTAGTAGATATAAGAAAACTTGAAAATAGACGGTCCAAAGATGCATTACAAGATGCACTATTTCCAAAACTTGAAATCCATTTTTTCTCACGTCCATGCATCTTGAAGTCAAAATGATCAATTTGAGTATTTTTTAGCATAAAAAACAACCTTTTCTAGTGAAAGTTTTGAAGTGCACTTTAATTTGACTGTTAGTTTTGACGTGCACTTTAATTTGACAGTTTAGAGCCTCGCACTTATATAAACTATTTCAGTATTTAAAAAGTTGGATGAGGGTTCTACACAACATAGGCTTTGTGAAAATAAAATAAAGCCTCACCTCAAATTCTCGTGAAAGCACTTTTGACAACGAAAATCTCAATGATAGCTTTAAAATCAATTTTCAACATTGACAATAAATTTTGAAACTAAACAGTGGAGCAGAACTTGCGGATCGATGAATACTTATGTTTAGAGCAAAATAAACGGTCTAAGATAATTTTACAATATGCTTGAAAAGGAGAGGCTTTGTTTATTTTGATGGGACTGCATCACTATCAAACTTTTTTTTTAGAAGTTGGGGGGTATTTTTGTAAATTTTGCTGGTAAAAATGTTGTTTGTTTTAGCTCCAAGGGTACATAAGATATTTGAGAAATAATAGGATTGGCTGCAATTGATTTGGATTATATTGTTATATTATCATTGCCACATAAGTCAAAAGACCTTGCTAGATTTTTCCTTGCTTTTTATGAGAAACCCTAGGTTTTATAGAGAAAGGTTTTTATACTTTTTTTCAAGGAGGTTTATACGTTCCCTACCATTCAGCCCTCTAATTTTGATCAAGAGATTTATTCATCGTTTGATCTTAAATATGATGTTTCAAAGTATTTTATTTTTAATTTTTTTATATATAAAAATATGAAAGTTGGTACGTACCATTGTTTCATTGATGCGTACTTATAAAAAATTATTAAAAATAATTTTTTAATAAAACATAATGATCAAAATACCTCTTGAATTTTTTAAAAATATTTGTGTTATTTTATTTTATTAAAAATATTTTTTTTATAATTTTTGTTAGTGCGAGTTCAATATAGGATTGGATGCCTAACGTTTGGTGTAAAACTGGTTTGTATAAAAAAATTAAAAATAAAATAGTGTAAGAGACGTGACATTGTGAATGGAGCAATCTTACCCCTCCATCCCGGGGCAATCTTACCCCTCCATCCCAGGGCAATCTTACCCCTCCATCCCATTCAAAGATGGACGGCTGAATAAAGGGAAGTATATAAATGTTAGCTTTGGGAAAGCATAGAAAGCTTGCCCCGATTTATAATGTTTACAGTTACAAGTTACAACTTGTAAAGTGCAAGTTGATTTCAGGCATTTGATTTCTTAAACCCTAGTTTTTTTTTAACGTATTTTTCCCATTTATGAGTTATGATATCTATGGAAATTGGATTTGGTGCCGTTTTCTGTTGTAGAAATTGATTTTTATGGAATTTTGGAGATGAATAAAGGGATCATGGTTTTGGCTGTGCTGGATTAGAATTTTCTTTTAACGGAAATATTTGGGTTGATGGATTAAAGTATAGTTTATAAATTTGAATGAATGGGGTTTGACTATTCTGGATGGGGATTTGAATTTATAAGCTGAAACCTTTGTGTTGTGAGACATTTGATGATGGTGTGGATTACTGCATTGAGATGAGTTTTGATGGGTTTTATCATCTAATGGATTTATTAATGGTTTGATATTCTAAAAAAGACGATTAAATTTTTTCTGAACTTTTGGCCTTGGGAAATTGAGCTTGGAATCTGATTTTATATGCCATCAAAGGTTTGGAGGGATTTATCTGGACTTGATAATCATGCAATAGTTTCCACTTCATGAAAACATTGGCTTTGATGAAAGGTTATAGATTATTTCAATCATGCACAGTATTTCAATGCAAATTTTTATCGAAGTCAAGCTGTTCTTAAAATGGACAATTTATGGAAACTCGGGGTCGGTGAAATTGGGAATCATCAATCAGCTTGGAAATTTGGAATTTTAGACATTTAGATTATATACCATCCAGGACCCTATATATAGCATTTGAAATTTTGTCTGCAGTTACATTCATTTAATGGAAAAGTTCGGGGACGATGAAGTGGGGTTATTGTTGAAGATGGTCGCAAAACAAGATCGAAAATCCTGTTCCCAAGTTTGTAAGCAATGGAAGAGAGTTGAGGGGTTAATGAAAACATATTTGAGGGTTCTTGAGCCAGAATCACTTCGGAGCTTTTTGCCCAGGTTTCCAAATTTGTTTATGCTAGAAGCTGAGAAAGGGATCACTGATCTAGACCTGGAATTCATAGCTAAAACTTGCCCTAATCTTGAGGTTCTTATGTTAATCGAAGGCAAACACAAGGTATTCGAATCCTCTGAGGAATTAGTTCTAGATGCTATCAGTGATGATGGGTTATGTGCAATGGCCACAGGGTGTAGAAGACTAAGGAAGGTCTATCTAAGAAGAAGAAATTGTATTGGGAAACGTGGTGTGACTGCACTTATTAAATCTTCCTTTAATCTGACACATCTAGACCTTTCATGCTGTGGTAAAATTACAGATGAGGCTTTGGAAGCCATTGCAGCTTCTACATCTCTTCAGGATCTCAATCTTCATGGTTGTTCCCTTATTACTGATACGGGTTTGGCTTCTCTTGCCACTGGTTCATCCACTAGAACTTTAAAAAGACTGGACCTTAGTGAGTGTGACCAAATTTCAGATTTTGGGGTATCTCTCTTGCGGCAATTGACCAATTTAGAGGAGCTGTCTCTCTCAGAGTGTGGCCCAAAACTCACAGATACAGGAGGTGTGGCAATTGGGGCCCTTAGTCACCTCCAGTATTTGAATTTTTCATGGCTTATAAACATCTCGGATATCTCGCTCCTTGCCATTGCACAAAATTTACATAATCTTGTTCAGTTTAATGCAACTGGTTGTGAGCTTATTACTGGAGTTGGGATTCGTGCATTTTCTAGTCATAAGTCTTTAGAAGGTCTAATTCTGGTTTCTTGCTATAATGTACTGGGGGATGATATTGAGCAAATGGTGCTTCAGTGCCAGTCTTTGAGGTATGTGTGGCTTGATAGAAGGTTGAGAAGTTGGATGTCTCACGAGATGCAAGTGAACATCAGTAGGACTTGTCGAATCATTTGGAGATGAATTGCAGAGGATTAATTGGTGTGGATTTATTATTATTTAGATAAAGAAAGTATAGCACAATCTAGTGGAGCACTCCATATAGACAATGACTATTGGCGATAGACCATAGTGGGCCATATTAGAATCACTCCCAGGTGTGGTTAATCTGCATTTTTCGTCCTCAGGAAATGTCGGCATACATTGCATCTACTGCACAGGGTTATGCTATACTTTCTCTTAAGGTAATTTACCCAAAAAAAGAAAGTTCATTTACTTTTGTTCGTAGTGGAGCAATGTGTGTACAAGATTTGTTTGCACTCAAATCTCATGAATCTGAAATATCTTTTGTTTAGAATAGTTCCTTTTGTTTCTGCATATGTACAAGATATGAGTTTCTTGTGCATTCAGTCTCATGAATTTCTGCGCAGCTAACCAAATGCATACACAAATATTCTCCTAGATTATTGTGCATAAGGGGATACAAAAGAAAATGTGGATGGCTCTAGGAGTGGTTTGCATGTTTCATATGCAGGCATGCATAAATTTTTCATGTTTGCATAGAACCTTACCTAAGTGCGTCTTTTTGGCTAAATTTATGGTATGTCATGCACCAGTTGCATCCATCATATTTAAACTTGTCATATTGTGTCCAAACACCAGCTAATAATCATCAGATTTAAAAATTCAAAGTTGTATGCGTCTGTAGGCCATTGACTTCTTGGATGCACATGGACATCCATCCATCCGTTCATGCACATGTTCATGCTGAATTTTGGCGTTTGGGTATTTAATATTTTAATGTACTGAAATTAGGTTTTATGGAAATCCCAAAAAGTTGATCTCATATTTTTCAAAAATATAATAAAAAGAGAAAAGAATAAAAAAGGGAAGGAATAAAAAAAAAGGGAAAAAAAAGAAAGAAAGAAAGGAATTAAAAAACAGAACGGGTCCCTAGATTTTAAAATCATTTTTCTCCACCCAGTTCATCTAATCAAGGAAAAAGGGTTATGTAGTCCAGTGGGACCAAGTTGTCGATTTGCTCATCGGCAACTACTTAGGGTTTTTGATGAACCCCAAAACTCTCAAAATCATGTTTATAACCCTCTTAAGATCCTTTTTTTTTTCTAAGAACCATAATGTGCTCCAAGAGTTGGACCACACATATTGATGGGCATCGGATTTGGGAAAATTTGAGCTCAACATCTTTTCCTTCTTTTTTTTTAAAGCATCTTTGGGATGTGTCAGAGATGTTTGAGAAAGTTTAAGGCCATATGAATTTCCCCAATCTAGGTGTTTTGGCCATGGGACCAGATGTGCAATTTGATCCATGGAACCATTTATATTTTTTTGGGAACCATTATATAGAATAGTTGATGATCAAAACTGCAAAATTACTATTTTTGACAAGTCAGAGACTACTTGGTACCTTGGGTGTTTTTTGTTTCTAATCATGTTAATAAATTGAAAAAGTGAAACCTTGAAAACTAATCCACCAATACAGGCCTCTTATGTTTGTGATGCTCATTTGATGTTGTGAAACATGCAAGATACTTCTATGATAATCTGCTGGACCCTTTGATGGGAACATGTAAGATACTTCTATCATAATCTGCTGGACCCTATGATGGAAGATACGTATAATATGTGGTTTGTGTACTTGATGTAAAGATTCGAAGCAATACTTCGTGGTTCCCAACATGGAAAAGTCCCTATAATGAAATAAACTTGGAAAATACAAAAAAAGACAGTGCACCACCTTTTTTACAAAAAAAATTTCATTAATTATCGATGTTTCAGCTGGGAGTTGGGAAATTAGTAAAGGAGCCCATGTACTATGAGAGTTCTGCATTTAGGAATTGAACTTGAGACAATGTTGCGATCTTTGATGACTAACCAATCAGGCCTGAGCCCAAGTCCTTGTGTGTTGGTTTATTCTAATATTTTATCTGTAGCATATTGCATTTTAACATTGTAACTGGCTGGCTTCCTATAACTGTTTCTTATGCTGATGGCAATCTCATCCAAAATCTTAAAAAGTTTTCAAAACAAATGCAGCTTGCTCTTGTGATTCGTGTTGCCGGCAATGTCATCAGGTGCATATTTTATTGATTGCGAGCATGACAGGCAAAGGCATTACTTCCGCAAAACAAAAGGAAAATGCTTGATATGAGGAATAAAAGATTCAGGTGGAGGGAGTGAGATAAAAAAACACTGGTGAGTGGGGAGGTAATCGGGAGGGAGAAGCAAGAAATAAGAGCATAGAATGAGATGAAGAAGAGAAACAGAGTGACACTGAAATTCTTATTGAAACAAAGAGAGAGAGAGAGAGAGAGAGAGGAGAAAATTTTATGGAATTAAAAAGAGAGAGAAAAAAAGAGAGATTCTTGCTGCTTGCACCCAAATGTTTATTTGTAACCTGATTGTTGATCTCACCCCATGGGCATGTGCGAGAGAGACCATGTTGATAGCCAGATTGATTAGCAATGAATAACCGCAATTCATTATCATCATCGTCAAAGCTTTTTTTTAACAATGAATAACCACAATTCATCATTCCTTTTCCTAACAATGAATTACCACAATTAATTCTCTTAATTTCTATTTCACAAGCAATGTAAGCCAGGTGTTCCCTATTATGTTGTTGATTTCTTACATAATTTCATTTGAACTCACTATTTAAGTGGTTTGGATTAGGGATGAGCAAACTTTTGCTGTATTGTATGCATTTGACATTCCTAATTCTTCTACTAAGGGTTAGGTTATTGAGTTGGCATTGCATTTAAGAATATTTTGTTTATTGTCATCTGATTTGTTATAATAAGATGATAATAAATAAAGAAAATTAAAAAAATATTATCCTCTTATGTATTATGATCTCTCTCTCTCTCTCAAAATTTTTTATTCCCTTGTACAAAACATAAAAGGTGCTCTACGCAAGGGGTTTTATTTCAGAGGCCCACCAAGGCAATTATGATGCGACCCGTGACTAATTTATGTTTAAACGATTGGTAGAAAGGAATAATTTATGTAAGGTAAGACCTTATAATGTAGAAGTAAGGCGCATTTTAAGGTGGTCTCGACAATGTAAAGGGCAGTGATTTCACGCAAAGGTGGTAGTATAGTATAATGCAATCACATTTTTAGAAAATCATGTTTGTGGTATTTGTATGACTCAAAATTTTGTACACACTCTCTTTATTTCAATAATCAATCCCCCTCAAAAGAAAAGTTCAATTTGAATATTAGATATGGACAAAATGAGTTCCTTTCAACAACGAATCTAGACTGTTCATTTGGTGAATTTCAAGATCTTAGCCTTTACCAACTTAAGATCCCCGAAATTAGTCATTTCGACCTTAAGGTGTATGGATATGAAAAAAAAAATGTCGGTCCGAATTGGAATTGCCCAATCCCGACCATGACATGTTTAAAAAAATGTCAGGAGTCGACAGGTTCCTCCCACGACACGGTCAATTTTGTCAGAGCTAGAATTGTTTTTGTATTTTGTTAATATCTGGTTAAGTATTTATAGATTTGCTCGATCTACCATTGTTAGAGCTTTAAATTCCTATAATAAGTAGTGAAAATAAATTTTAGGTCATTGTAGGGGTTTCTAATACCAAAATTACATCTTTTAGCAAGATATCGATGCATACCTTATTTTAATGGGAAATGATCCAATGCAACGGTTGTATAGTAGTATAATGCAACCACACATCTAGAAAACCATTTATTTTGGCATTTGTATGACCCCAAGTTTTGCACACACATTCTCTTTATCCTCATAATCCATCCTACGGAAAAAAATATTTCAATTTGTACCCTAGATATGGTCAAAATTAGTACCCATCTAACGATGAATCATGTCCATCCATTTGGTGAATTTCAAGATCTAGGCCTTAACAAATTCAAAATCACTTTTTTTCCTTTAAGCATTATTAATCTAATGATGATAACGCTATAAAAAAACTTTGGGAATAAAGCAATGCTTTTAAGGCCCATACCTAACCATCTCAATAAAATGGACTACTTATATTAGTTGGGCTAGAATGAAAACTTTCTAGAGCATTTTTTCAAAATTTTTTATTTTGTGATTGTTCTTCAAAATGAAAAGAGTGTAGATTTAAAATTCATGTGAAACAAATGTCTCTAACATATAAAATTCATGTGAAACAAATATCTCTAACATAGTTTTTTAAGATGGTTGCAATATACTACTATACAACCGTTGCATGAAATCATTTCCCTTCTTTAATTGTTCAAGGTTGACACCTTACAAAACCCCACCCTTATTATAATTGCATTTTGCTAAAATTGTTACGAAAATATATGGAATTAAAAAGGCCCCACAAGGCGATTTGGAATAACATATGACAAATTCAAGTTTTAACGTTGGGTGTGGTTTCTATAAGATTGCAACATTAAATAATGCAATTAAGGCACACCTCCAAATTTTATCATACCATATAATTTTAGTGTACAAGTTCTTAGGCTTATCTCAAAATATATTTTCATAATTAAATATAAAATTGTAAACTCCAAAAATGGTTAAAATCAAGTAGATCTATAAACATATGAAAATCTAGATAATGTGTTGCAAGATGCACTATTTATGGGACTCAAACTCTTTTTTTTTTATATTCATATATCTCGATGTCAAGATGATCAATTAAAGGATTTTTCAACATTAAAACAATATTTTCTGATGGATTTTTGTGGTGCATCTTTAATTCTACATTTTAAAGTGGCAACCTCATATAAACTTTTTCTTTTAAGAATCGTTAGAATTGCATTTTGTTGAGATTGTTATGATAATATATTTTTTAAAGGATTTTTGAGGTGTGTCTTCAATTCTACATTTTACGATGCAACCTTATATAAACGTTTTACTTTAACCATTGTTAGAATTGCATTTTGCTGAGATTGTTATGATAATATATGGAAAAAAGTGGAACAAAGGTCTACTTTTAATGAATTCAATAAGAACTTTTATTGTTGAAACTGACATTTGAATACTTAATTAGGTGAATTCATCATCATCATAATAGGTTTTTTCTAAATCAGGAATTCAAAATGTAATAATTTATTGTAAAGGAATTGTTGACCATAATACTCGTAGTTGGGATGACCATTTCTACAATATCTTTGTTGCGAACGAGGTGTGGAATTGGTTACGCAAAAAAGCTCACAATGATATATTTTTAGATTTTATATTTCTTTCAGTAATTTATACACATATCCCAGTGCCTTATTTAAAAACAATAGACAAAATTACAAAAAAAAAACTCTCAAAACAATACTTTCTATACAACTTATCCCCAACCTAACTTTTTCTCTCACTTTTATTTCTCAAAATCAAAACAAACTTTCTATGCCAATACCCCCAAGGAAAAAAATTCATTTTTAGAGAGAAATGCCCTTCCCGTATAAAGAAATTATTTTGACCAGATTTGATGTTGACTTTTGGACCCAGTAGCACATTGCCGGAGCGCAACATCGCATTGTCGAACCGCCTTTACAGAAACTAAAAGTACCGGACAACCTTATCTGACCGAAATTGTGTACTGCCAGACCGCCCTTTACCGAAGCTTTGAAATCCCGTAACATTTACTGTCGGACCACCCTTTGCAATTGCCAGACCGCAAACATCTACTGCCGGACCACCCTTTACAGAGTGTTATACTGCCAGACAAAGTGTTATACTGTCGGACTGCATTTACACAGTGCCGGAGCCCTATTTTGGTGGGGCATTTACACAGTGCCGGAGCCCTATTTTGGTGGGATAGATGAGATAGGCGTGAGTAAGGTAAAAGTAATGGAGGTAGTTTAGGCATTTTATTTTATTTTTTTTGGTTGGGGTTTGCATAGAGCCGAGGCTCTAAACAATCAAATTGGAGCCTATCTTTAAATAATATCGAGAAAAGTAGTTTCAATATTGGAAATATTTGTGATAGCCTTAAAATATATTTTTCTATTTAATTATAAAGTTTAAAGCTTGAAAAATACTGTAGATCGAGCAGATCTATGACAACTTGAAAATCTTAAAATTTGACGGTCCAAAAATACGCTACAAGATGCACTATTTCCAAAACTTGAAATCCTTTTTTTTTTTCTCATGTACATGCAACTTGATGTCGAGATGATCAATTTAAAGATATCTGAGCATCAAAACAACCTCTTCTAGTGAAATTTTTGAGGTGGGCTCAAATTTGATTGTTTGGCGCCTCGACTCTATAAACTTTTTCCTTACATAGACAGTGTATTTTTTTTAAAAAAAAGTGAGAAAAAAAGTTAGATTGGGTATAAGTTGCATAAAAGGTATAGTCTTGGGTTTTTTTTGTAATTTTCGAAAAACATACTCCTAACAATTTGAATATTATGACCATTACTATTCTTTTACTCTCTTTTTTTCATGCTGCACTTACTTCAAAACTTGAAGGGCAAAAAATTTATATTTATATTTCTACCTTGTATAGGTTTTCTAGATGCAAGTAGAACTTCGAATTTTCAAAATCCAAATTAAATGTTCACTCTAGCCTCAAGCCAGCAAGCATACAATCACAAGCTTATTTGATGCAAATAAAACTTTAGAATTTTACAATCCTAAGTTCAGATAACTTTGGAATTTCAAAATTTAAAGCATTTTTAAGCTGCTGTATAACCACCTAAAAGGAGATCATAACCATCATCGTCAAAGCCTTTTTCTAACTAATTGGGACCGATTACACAAATCATGGTCTGTTATTTTGCTTTATTAATGACCATACCTTTAGTGAGGCCCAAAATATTTGTATCTTTTCTTACTACTTCTAACCATATCATTTTGAGCTTACTTTTTGCCCTTGTTGAGCTTTTTACTTGAACTAAATCATACCACTTATCAGGTGTTGTATTGGATCTATGCCACACATAACCAACCCACTTAAGTCTACTCTCTCTTATGTTATCATCTATTGGTGTTAATTTTATTTCTTCTTATCTTTCTACTCATCTATCTCAACAGCTTCATCTCCATTACACTTATTCTATGGATATAGTGATTTTTTACTGCCCAACATTCCACTTATAGAGCAAAGCTGGTCTTACAGTTGTCCAAATAAATTTTCCCTTCAGTTTCATTAATACGCAACGATCACATAAATTCTGATTGCATATTTCCACTTCACCCTCCCTCCCATCTTTAATTATATGCGCAACACTTTTTTCGATCATTTTATTTTATTGGATTATTGACCCAAGATATCGAATTGCCTTTTCCTTCTTCTTCTTTTCTTTTCTTCTTTTATTTATTTCTTTATTTTATTTATATTTTTATTTTTCGTCTGTATGAAGTTCTTTAACTTCGGATATGTAGCTAAACTACTCTTTCTTTAGGGGCATGATGTTTGGAGAGAACAAGGTAGGAAAGGCGGAGATTCTTGTACCACATCATGCAATATAGACCGTCAGATTTAGAGCGCAGAAGCATGCAAAGTGATTAAAACTCCACTCCCAACGCCCTTTATGGTTTGCAGAAGAGAAGAGAGGCGTGATCCATGGCTGCTGCTGCTTCTTCTCTATTAATTAGGGTTTTTGGAGCTGCTCTCCGCAAAATCTCAACTGGGCTTCTCTCTATTCACCCCAATTCCATGCCTTTGAAATGTATTTGCGCTCTCTCTCTCTCTTCTCTCTCTTCTACTACTACTACTATTGCTACTACTATGAGTGTTGTGTTGATTACTTTATTCAAATGCTGTCCATCTCTCTCTCCCTCTCTCTCTCTAAGCTCTCATATTGGACTCTCATTTGCATGTTCTCTCTCTCTAAAATCTCATATGGGTGCTCTCTCTCTCTCTCTATCTATCTCTTCTTATATCAATCTCTCTGTGTGTTCTTTGTTGTGTTCCACTTCTTGCTGATTGTTTGATTGTTGTTTTTACTTTCAGACATTGGGTCACTCGATAGGAATTTATATTCAACAAATGCATTTCAGATTCAAATGACTCATCAAATTAGAGGGGAATCCTTGATAAGGGCTCGGAAGATTTGGGTCTCCTCTCCATTATGCATGGGAAGGCGCTCTTGCAAAATTGCAACAAGAAAGGTATTTCATTTTTCATAATTATAGGTTTTCCAATAGTATCTGAGAACAGAATACTTGGTTTTAGTAAACATTCAAAAACATAAACTTGGTTTTAGTGTTAATTATTTCTTCTGTTCTGGTTTGATACTTATAGCTGGTTTATCCTTATGGTTTTTCTGTTCTTTTTATCTGTATTAATTGGAAATGGTAATATGGATAGCTTTTTATTGCTGGTTCCTATAGTGGGAATAAGATCTGTTTTGAAATTCTTTAATGTTATGGGAAGAATTTCTGAATTCTTTTGTGATCCAATCATGGGCAGTTCTGGTTAGTATTTGTATGTGATATGGATGGTATTAACAGCTTGATTTTAGTGATATTATTCATTTTAGGAAAATTATATTGAAAAATATGAATGCAATGAAAATTTTGGTATAATTCCGAACTTCAAGAGGTTCCTATAAGACAATCAATAGGCTGTGTAGGGCTAAAAGTCTAATCGCTATGCCTTTCTCCTCGCTCTGTGATTGAATGCCCCCCAATGAACTTGATCATCAGCCATAAATTATCAGACTGAAACAGTTTATAAAATTGGTTAAAATATAAATTCAGTACAAATTGCTTATTGTGCTTGTATCATACTTATGGTTCCAGCCACTAGCTATGAGACATCCCTTTTGTGGGGTCATTATCTACCGTGATGCTCATTATTGGACATAGAAGTTTCTAAGACAATGTGATATGAGTAAACTAGAGATTGATGTTAATGATGTTTACATTGTTGATTTGTGCCCTAAAATATTTGCAGTCTAAATAAACGTATAGGAAATGAGATTGGCAACTTCTTGTTTTACATATGATGGTGTTCTAGAACTATGTACGTGGACTGCATTACTTAATTTTGAATGAGAAATATTTCTTTAGTAATTCTTGATAAATAGGAATATCAGCATGGTATTTTCTGATTGTATGGAGAGATTTGCTTGCCACTTAGTTGTGGTCAATTCAGATTGAACTCCTACTTTAATATAGTGTCTTATAATTTCTTGATGGCTACATCTTGTCTAGTAATATCTTGATGGCTACATATTGGCTCTGGTTATTGAATGAAATAATGTGCGAAATGTGGTGTTTATATTTTGAGTTTTTCTCTCCTTTAATGATTTGGTACGTATCAGAAAAAAGGAGCAATTTTTCTCCTTGGGTTTTTTGTATAGTTATGTTTACAACTATTGTTGTTGAATGTTGTCATTGTTTTACTCATTGACATTATAATGGATTTGTGGATTCTAGGCTGCTAAAGTTGCCATATGTGCCATGACCACAGGGGGCTCAAGATGCAAAGAAGTCAAAACGAAATGGGAAAATTGGGAAGGAAATCGTATCTGCGTGGGTGCTTCAGCTCTAGAATTTTTTATTGGTGTTTAGTCATTTGGATGCTAACTTAAGTATGGTGAAGAAATTTGGAGCTCTGGTCAGTCCTTTTGTTTTAGGCATGTTTAAGAGTTAAAAAATTAATGCAGGGAGAAATAGTTTACTCGTTTGGGGTAGTTAATTAGAGATTCTTAATTGACTTATTTTAAAGGGAAAATTAAAGATACCCCCTAGATTGTACTTTCTAGGCATGCCCCCCTCCTCCCCACCGCCACAATATTTTTAAATCACACTATTAACCCCATTCGCCAAGTAAAAATGTTAATTTTTTTTTTGGTGCCAAACACCATCCCCAACACTCCCCCTCCTGCAGGGAAAACCCCCCCAGGGGATTTTAACCCGCTTTTCTCTACCAACATGCAGCCCGGCATATAGATGCCGGGTTGGCTTCTAATCTTCAAAATGTGGCCAGACTGGCACAAAATGTGCCGGACTAGCTTATATTGAAATTGCGTCAGTTCTGCACAAAATGTGTCTAATCAACTTCTGTGCTCAAGTTGTGTTGATTTGGCACATTTTGAGCCGGACCGGCTTAAAGAGAGAATGTTGGAATGTGATAAGAAAAAGAGAAACATAGGTTAAAATGGATGTGTTTTGGTAAAAGAATCAACCTTTTTACTTGGGGGATAGATGCAAGAAAAAATAGTATTGGGGTTAAGTAGTGTTTTTTTTTTTGTTTTTGGGGTGGCAGGCCAAGAAAGTACAATCTAGTGGGTATCTAAAATTTTCCTCTATAAAACAATATATGCAGTATAGTTGTTTATTTCTATGAGTTGGAAAAAATTATAGAAGCTCTGACTATTTGTTGTAACCCTTCCCTATAAAATCCTAAGTTGTTCCAATGTACTTGCCCTTGTTCGTCCTTTTGCTCTCATATTTGCAACACATATTTGCGGCTTGGGTAGTCAATGTTTGAAGCTTGGTTGGTAGAACAGATGTGCTGTCTGAAGTTCTCAGCTCTGGCTAGTTTGGTTAAGTATATATAGCTTTGCCGTTCAAAGGAAGAGCCTGAACATGTGCTTTTTTTCATAGAACCTGATGGTTTTGGATTTTCACAATGTTCCGCTTGTTTTGGCTTTATATCAGAATTCTTTGGGGCAAACACGATCCCTTAGTAATTGCAACCTCCCAAATTAGTGGAAGGTGTGCAAGAAGTAAAGCCGTCTCAATTTTGGCAAAGGTGTGCCTGCATATCTCCGTTGCTTGCAAGCTCTAGCATGTGAGACAAATGGGCTCATGATCTTTGTGTGCACCACTTTGACTGTCACTTGGATTTAGAGGAGAATGAGTTTCTCATGTTTCTAGTGACCATCTTATACTCCACTTGAAAATGGTAAAGCATGTTCATGTTGTTGAAACTGCTTGTATTGCCATCTATTAAATTTACCATTCGGAATGTGGCTCTTTTAGTAGTTGGTTAGCTTATGCACAATTGCTTATTGATCTTGTGAAATAAATGCTTGTAATCCCAAGTGGTGCAAGTACTCCTATTGTTTGTACTTTGTTTTGTTTTTCCGTTTCAGTTGAGCTTGAGTGTATTCTATAGCCTCTTGATGTGTTTATTTGTACGCATCTTTTTTAAAAGTATGCCTCTTACATTTTATTTTGTGCTCTTCTCCTACTCCTTTTATACCAAATGGCACATTTTCTTATTGATACAAAACTGCAGTGTCAAGAGAGGCGGTCCAAACCGAATATCGAATGCAGTCTTGGCTGCTGTGCTAGAAAAGGCAAAGGAGCTTGATGTGCCGAAGGAAATAATGGAGCGGAATATTAAAAGAGCTTCTGAAAAGGGACAAGAAGCTTACATTGAGAAGTTTTACGAGGTATTTATGGTGCCATACTGAGTGTTAAAGTTTCATGGCCATTATTTTTCCAAAAAATATTCATCTAGTTTTGAACCTTTTAGTGATTAATACGCATAATTGCATATTTATTGGATATTTTTTGGGTACTAGGTATATGGCTTTGGTGGCGTCTGTATGGTAGTTGAGGTTTTAACGGACAAAGTAACTCGATCGGTTGCAGTTGTCAGAACAGTAGTGAAGGATTGTGGTGGGAAAATGGCAGATCCTGGATCAGTTATGTTCAAGTTTAGGCGAGCAAGAGTCGTAAATATTAAGGTTACCGATGTTGACAAAGACTGGCTTCTAACTGTTGCACTAGATGCTGGTGTTGAGGATGTTATAGAACCTCCAGCATATGAAGATGATGATCCAGAAGATCAATCAGAGAGGTGAGGGTTACGTTGTTATGACTATTATGTTTGGTAAATAAATAAATAAAAATGTTGCATTTGTTACTTATTTATATAAGTTTAATATTGTTTGGTAGTTTCTTACTGGAATTTAAATGCTTGTATTCTGGGATGGTATACCATGGTTCAACTCCAATGGAGTATGAAAAACTGTAGTCAGTTGGGGTCATGATTGTCACATGGAGTGATGGATGGTGATGGATGGAGTTTAGGACCTGGGGTGATGTCCTTTTCTATTGAGTCTTGCTCTCTCTCCACCATGTCTGTCATTCTTCATTAGTGACCTCAATGAACCGTGATTTTTCCATAGATCATTAGATTATTATAGTACCCATTCCTTTAAAAAGTTTATTCTTAACTTCCTCGTGAAGGTTTTTATTTTTTTGAACTGTGGACCATCCGCCTTGTGGATTGCCCATCTTTCTGATCAATTTAAGGTTAACATTCTCAAAAAAAAAAGTTTATTCTTTGGAGAATAAATCATTTTGTTGGATGATGATACTAAACCAGATTGCCTTCAGTTGGAGTGTTGGACTGAGCTGTAGGTGTGCTTTGCACCTCATGAGGGTTGATGATCCGATCAGCACACTGCGGGCCCAAATATATTTTGTAAAAAATACTATTTCACGTTCACCTTCCTAGTTCCCCTTTTTTTATAGAAATTTCTCTATTTCTCTTTCACATATTAGGTTGGAATTCTTTTGCATGCTTGCATTAGTCTGCCTTTTTTGAACACTAAAGAGAAAAAATTTTCATATCCAAGCAGGAAATTATCCAATAATAACTATTTGTTCCAGTATATTAATTTTGTTATTAACTTTTTAATAATATTCTGTGTGTATTGACTCAATAAGAACAATCTGGTTGTTATGAAATGGTATTATACGATGCTAGTTATTGTTACCTGTATGTGTATTGGGCGCCTCTTTCTTTTACGTAGTTATATAGGGAATGGGGTCTAATATAATATTTGTTTGATAGATATTACAAGATTGTAAGCCCGGGTGAAAATTACTCAGATTTACTGTCTAAACTACGAGAGGAGGGGATTGCTTTTGAACCAGACAATGGTTTTGAGCTTCTGCCATTAACAACTATTGAGGTATGTTATTATTTGGCTCTAATATCTTTGTATCATTAATGCTATCACTTCTTGTTGCTAAAGACTTCTATTTTCAGGTTAGAAATCGTTCATGGGCTTGATCGCCAGTCCTTGTTAGTTAAGTCTCCAAAAACATCTAGATGCAAAAAGTTTTCTGTGCTGAACTATTTCATTATGTATGAGAAAATATAGGCTATTTATGTTTTTTCTTTTGTCCTTTCTGTTACACTGGCATAACCGATTGTCTTGATGTAAAGGAAAGTATTTTTTCAGTAAGAGGGTCTTTCCAGTGTCTATTTTTCTGATTTCCTTGATGAGTCACTGGAGATTTTTTTTAAACATCTCTATTTCTTACATATTTTTCGGGCCCATTTATTTGTTCTTATATATTATTACTAAGCGTCAGTGTGTTATATATTACTTGTTACAATGGATACAGGTGGATGATGAAGCCATCGACTTAAACAAGGAGCTTATGTACAAGTTACTTGAGCTGGATGATGTTGATGCTGTTTATTCAGACCAGAAATGACCGACATTTTTTATATTTCAATGCGTGAGTCATTGGTCTCATTTCGGTTTGATATTTTACCCCACAATAAAAGTATACATGCCAAAAATCACAATTAATGTATGTTATGTCAAAGGAAGGCTTTATCTATATGGGCTGAACCATTCTGGTTCTGAAATTAGATAGGAAAATTGGGTATTTTTCCCTGATGGAGAAGAAAGACAAGCTTGAGGAGGATACAAAGGGGGCATGGTGGTTCTCTTATTGTTTTATCTAATATAATTGCCGAAATTTTTTCCTTTGTTTGATTATTCAAGTTGGGATTTTTAATAGGAATTATTATTGAAGTAGGAAATGAGAAAGGCATGCAATTTTATGCATAAATATCATTGATTGTCAGTTTATTGATGAGTTAACAGCTTGTGTAATAGACAATGATGATCTCTTTTGGAGAGAAATTTGGTGAACCTATAATTGTTCTTTTGAAGTATTCTGGACTGGTTTGACTTCTTAATGCTAGAAGATTCCCTTTGATGAAATGATAGTCTCAACCTTTTAGCATGAAATTAGGGCAGCAGCTAGGCGAATCGTCTAAGAGCTAGTTTCAATATCAAATAAAAAAAATCTCATTATTGGAAAAATTGCAAGATTTTCAGATGCACATTGTAAAAGATCTGAAATTTCTTTTCTACTCTTAAATAATTGTTTGGTTGGATGTTTTGAAGGGAAAGCTTTCTATATGCCACTAAGAATAGGGAATTTATATATGCCACCCATCTCCTAGTTGTTTGATTTGAATGGATGGCTGAGATGACATCAATCACAATGTCACACATAAATACTATTTTATTTTTAATTTTTTTAATACAAATCATATTGACACCAAATTTGGCATGTCCGGTCCTTTCATAGGCTCGCATCATGAAAATATTATTTAAATATTTTTTTTAGTTGTGTTCCATTGAGCTGATCACACACCAAATTTCATGTTCATATGATTTGTAAGACAAAATTAAAAAGAAATTACGTTGTTTTGTTAGATTTAGATCAAACAGTCAAGGCTCACTTGTGACATTATTGCTGAAGGTATTCCAGCCAGTCATTCAGATCGACGGCTGGGCTAAAAGAGGGTGGCATATATAAATTCCTTACCTCTGTACCCCATTGAGAACGTGTCTTGCTTCGATAGAACTTTTTCTTAGTAAAATCACAACAAAAACACCCCACAGAATCCCCAAGATATAAAATCCCACCTGAGATGAGAGATGACAACGACCAAGCCCACACAGAAGGAGTGATGGAGAGATGCACATGGCTGAACCTTAGAGAGATAAGGCACTTGAACATCCTTGTCACTACTTTGCTCTCTTGTTGTTTAATTCCTCAATCTTTCTTTCCACCTTCTCCCTCCCTCTTCCCGCTCTCTGATAGTTTTCCCTTTGCTCTATACTTCTTGTGTTTTAGGGGTAGCAGATGGGTCATGTTGACTCGTAGACCTGGGAGGTTGACCGGAACTGGGTCTGGGTCCTAGTGTTGGATCTGACAGGTCGGGCTGTGTCCAAATGACTAGACCCCACCGTAATCGGGCCCAGGTCCAAATGACTGGACCCCACCAGGTCGGGTTATATAAGTTTAAAAGTACATAAAATACATATATAAGATATGATAAAATACATATAATAGTTTTTTTATTTTTTTATTTCTAGGATCAGACCCATCGCCCTGGTGGGTCGGGTCTGGCTCGGTCCGTCATTGCCACCCCTATAGTGTTTCCTTGCCTCCTCCTTGTTCTTGAGCATCAATTATCTGCATCCATGGCCATTGCCAAACCCCTCAAGTTCTCTCTTTGCTCCTCTCCTGCAAAATGAGGATCTCAAACCCGTTCTCAAAGCCTGGATTCTGGAAAGAAAGTCTTCACGCAGGCCCATATCTAGATCAAGAACACCCATTCTCACTCTATTATTGTCTAGCTCAATTTGCCCCATGTCTATGGCATTTAGCTCTTTGGTTTTATCAATGTCTTCTTTCTGCACTCTCCTTTTTCCTCGAAATTGTGGGTGATGGCTACCATCTTCACTCTCCTTTTTCCTCCAAACTTTGGCTCATGGCTGCCAAGAGGTGTTGTGCATCAGTCTATGCATTTTTGCTCCTGGATGAGGAAGATGGGGTTGGATTTTTACATGGAAGAGTCTCCCAAAAGGAGAAGTCGTGAAGAAGATTGTCTCCAATGATGACACTGAAGATGGATACGTTATTTTCCAATGATGACACTGAAGACGGTGATGTTATTTTTAACATTTTTCCCATGAAAGTTTTAAAGAAATGATTGAAGGATTCAAGACCTAGGGTTGAACAGAAATTAGGGTTTTAAATAAGAGCACTATGGAGATGCGGACAAGGATTCAAGGGAGATAGGTAGGGGCAGAGAATGTATGTCATTTGGATCCAGGGGAAATAGTTATAGAGAGCATGGCATGTGATGGGTAGGCATGGGAGTTGAGAAAAGGCAAAACTTGTCATCTGAACAATTAAGTCTTGACTTAAAATTTTCCAGATAGGACTTTTTCTTAGATTTCAGCCTGGTGATCCCTATCCTTTCGTTCACATGTCTCTGATCGTCACATTCCCCACCATTGCCGGAGTTTTGGCCGGAATTCTCCCCATCGCATACTCTGCGCAAGTCTCCCACCTCTCTCACTGCTCCTTGCGGGACTTTGTGCTGGGGGTTTCTCCCTTTGTGGTCTGTCCATGCCTTTCTAAAAAACTTGATATCCAAACAGCCTGAATTACTTCTCACTAGATTTTTGAATTATGATCCAAAAATCTGCTAGTTTGGGTTACACCCAAAGTAGCAGTAATGCACCTGTTTCTCTTCTGATCATTATACTTAGGAATGGAAAATATGCTCGAGTCTTAGTCTATGGAAGACAATGTCAAAGAGGCTCGAAAATTTGATTGTTGTGCCCAAGCTTATCATTTGGATTGTTCCTTGGCAGCATATAGCTCCCTTTTTCGATATATTACTTGAATAAACTGTGAAAAGAAGAAACATATCTCCTAACTCATCCAGGTAAAACCATGTTTCCATGAAAGGAAAACCACCCAATGTAGAGGATGCCAATTTTTGCTTGTTTACATACAATACCATGACACAGAACACAACTCATTTTTTTTTTTTTGGTAATGCCAATTTTTGCTTGTTTACATACAATACCATGACACAGAACCCATATCTAATGTTTTTTTTTTTTGTATCTAACCTAGTAGAAAAGCCTCAATCTATGATAAAAAGGAAAACAGTAGAGCTATCCACACAAGTAACAGTTGATGAATTCTGTGAGTACAAGAAGGAACTTGTCTGGCCACTATGAGATCTCGTCCAAAAGAGATCTGTTGGGAGGATTTCAGTTCTTTGGGACCCAGCATCCATGGAGGCCATATGGAAGGCCGTAAGGAAATCTTGCTCTAGCAATCTCTTCAAAGGTGGGGCCATCAAATAAGATTGCATATCCTCCGCCTTCTTTGTCGCTTACCATGGAAATCACCACACCTACAGCCAAATCCATCACAAAATGTTCACTTGCTTTGTACATGTATGTATGTATGTATGTGTGTATTACGATACATGTTTGTATCTATGCAGATAAATGCACGTGTGTTTATCTATGATGAAAGTACTATCGAGGGATTTTAGAGATGGAGACTAGCAGCTGACCATCATCTTCAGCTGTGGCACCGGGCCTGGCTACGAAGAAGGGTTCGGAGGGTACACCACCCTCATCATGCCAGTTTTTTGCTGTCTTGATCTCCAAATCAATCTACAGTAATCAAACACTCGTCAAACAAGAGCATCATCATAAACCAAAGTTTTCCTATTCTAGAACACAACTATTGAAATGTTGTATTTCAGCCGAGCGCTGATGAATGACCCAGGTTTTGGTTGGGCAGTTTAGAGTAATGCTAATTAGAAATATTCCATGGCTCTCCTGCAAATTCCATTTATACTGTCTGCAAATTCATTCTATACGGCAATGTAAGAGCTTCAGCTCGTACCGCAATGTAAAAGCTTACGCAACACAAAACTTCATAGAAATTTGGCCAAAATGAGTCAAGAGACTTGAGTTATGAGCCAGTTTTCCTTCAAATCCCATGCTTAGTTAAAAAAAGAATAAAAGAAGGAAAAAAGTAAAAGAAATTCCACAGAAATTTGGCCACCATGAGTATAGAAATTTGAGTCATTAGATAGTACTATTTCAAATCCCATGCTTGGTTTAAAAAAGGGGAAAAAAAGTAAAAAAGTAAAAAGAAATTATAAGCTTGCCTTTGTAATTGTGTTTGGGAAGTTACAGGGGCGCTTGGCTCCAGATGCATAGAGGTATCTGTATTTCTTGCCCAAATAAGCAGGATTGAAGCTGCACATATCCATCCCTCTTCCATGTTGATCTGGGTCCAAGGCTGCCTCCAGCTTCCCCATTGGGCTTCCATCCAATGGAATTGTAAATCTCCCAACCCTGCATGCTCAAAAGTCAGTCCTCCACATCTTCTCACCTCTACGTTTCTTAAGTTCAAGGATAATAGGCATGAACTTCTTGAATCTTAGGCAAGTTTCTAAGCTTTTTGAAACCCTTGAAGATTTAAGGTGGTAAAATTACCTGGGGCAATATTGCAAATACCAACAGCTTTTCTAAATTCTTGTGTGTGTGTGTGAGAGAGAGAGAGACCTGGCATCTGGTAGTACATCTTTGCCAGAAAAGGATCGTAGGTTTTGCAAGGTAAGCCTTTGAAGAATTGATGCGTCTGCATTGTGCTCGCAACAATCAGCAATGATCGCAGTCACGCGCCCTTCCTCGTCATGCTCCTCATAGGCATTTACGAAATGAAACGTCACGTATAGTGGCACCTCAACGCTGGCAACCTGGAAAAACAGAAAACTGTATTGTAGATTGATTGCAATCCAACATGGACCTGATTTACATGAATCAAGGTCATAAAATGTTATGAAATGGAGAGAGAGAGAGAGAGAGAGAGAGAGATCGACATACAACTTTGCCACTCCTCTTGCACATGACATGCATGAATCCCTTTGACTCGGGGTGCCACTCGAACTTAAAGAGTGGTGTTGGCTCCGCCTTCAGTAAGTTCTGCACACAGTATCTCAGCGGCATCTCCGGCACTAGAATGTAATTCTGTGTCACTGGGAAACTATGCACCCACCCTGGAGCTGGGCCTCCTCTACAATCCACTCTTCCAATCAACTCTCTCTTATTCGAACCTGCAACCATCCTAACCACCCTATATCCAGGGTAAACCAAGTCTGGCAATAATGTCAGAAACTCCTCGTCAGTCACAATTGGATGAGCAGAGTGTATGAGCCCACCCAAGTTATCAGTATATTCAAATTTCCCGATTGTTTTCAGAGTGTTGGGATCGACTTGTATTGACCCTTTTGTTGTCTCTGTCATACAAACGACCCGACCATCACCTAGTTTGATGACACCAGTGTTGGCATTGTCGGTTAAGGATTCTCCAGAGACTAGGGAGGCAAGCTCGCCGATGTACGCGAGGAAGTTGGCGGTCTTTGGGACCTCGGAGAATTCTCGGTAGCAAAGGCGGCCATGTGATTTGGCGGCCCTGTAAGCTTCTGACTGAATTTGGCTGTGGCCTGCGATGAGGCGGCCGTTCTCGAAGTGCAGGCGGATGAGGGTAGCATAGCCATCAAAGAGGTGCCTGAGTCCATAGTCCCCAATGTTGAACATGCCTGGGCCATTCCTCAGGTATGTGCCACTCTGTGAGAAAGATGCACGAATTACATGCCTGGGCCATTCCTAAGCTAGGAATATCTTTTAGATCCCAAATTTTAGGGATATAACATTTTGAACATGGGAGAACCCTCAAAAAAAAAAAAAAAATACAAATCCGACACTCTACTTGCTTGAAAAGAAATATCATCCCAAAAATGGACCGTCCAATCTTTGTAGAGCATGATCTAAGTGTTGAATAACTCAAAGTCCATTGTTATTTGATTAAAAACAGTCATCTGATTCTTGGGCGGATCCCAAAGTTTCGAATAAAAAAAATCCTCACAAGTAGCTCTTTTGCCCAGGGGAGTTAATGTATAATATGCTCCATATAAACAAGTTATATGCGCAATATATCACTCCTGTACATAAATTTACATTTTAATGAGTAAGCTAGCTTGGTTTGAATGGGTTTCCAACCAGAATAGTAGAAATGGAGTCACATCACTAAGGCAAAGGCTGGAATCCATAGTGGAAGATTTCATGAAAAAGGATTTCGAACTTTTTGTGGAAAACGAGGTGGGTGTGAATTTAGAGAGAAGTTTCAATTTTCATTTTTAGATTGATAGCTTTGGAATCCAATTTGACTGAGAGAGGTTAAAAGTTGGAAGTTTAAACCCTTGAAATTTCTCCTAAAAAATCTCTTTTGATTTTTTTTTTTTTTTAATTATAATTTTCTCAGTTGTTTTTGGTCATTCCCCTAAGTTTCCATGTGAACCAAGTATTTTTTTCCACAACAATGGACTTCTGTTTGAATGCTAATATTTTTTTATTTAAAGATTTAAGCTCCCAGTTGAATGGGAAGTTGTTATCCTTTTTCAGCCTCTTGGTTCATGCCCAGCTACTTCCCTCGGTGGAAGAGATTTTTTTTGTTTTAAATGCTTTGTCAAGAAAGTTAATGAGCAGTTTTGTTTCTATAATTTAAGGAAAGGTATACAACAAGATAATTTACCTTCGGTGGGAGGAGGACATAATTGCCTGGGGCCCTTGGATGTGAAATCTAGTGGCTAGGAATTTAAATAATTTTTTTTTGAACTTTGTAATCCACTTCAAATTATTAGATTTTATGGGTAGAAGTGAATCTGACCTCTTTGTACTAAAAGTAAATAGTTACATAGTATACAATCACGTAATTTAAAGATTCTTAAAATACTCTTCACGTAATTTAAAGATTATTAAAATACTCTTTTTTTGTATGTACTGTATATCCTATCCATAATTATCAAGACCGGATCATACATGTTGGCTCGACCTGTGCCTTACTAGCACCCATGTTAAATATGCCTACAACCAAAAAAACTTAACAACACCCATGTTTTACTAGTTTTGGCCAATGGATTGGTCAGTTGAAAAACAAAATTGGGTAATGCATTTAACCATAGTTTACATTTTTAAATTATAGTTCTTATTTTTCTTTACTTTTTATAAAATCTGGGCCAACTGGCTCGGTTGGCCAGAATTCGAACTGATTTTAATAGGGCCGAAGTATATCCTATCCTAATAACTATGATCTTGGATCTAATGTGAAATTAAAAAGATCCAATGTGCAATTAAAATCTCGACTGTATAAAAAAAGAAACAATTTATATAAGTGCGAGGCTCTAAACAATTAAATTAGGGTGCACCTCAAATTTCATTAGGAGAGGTTATTTTGATGCCCAAATATCCTCAAATTGATCATATCTACGTCAAGATGCATAGACATGAGAAAAAAAAAAAAAAGTTTTGAAAATATTGGATCTTGTAATGTATTTTTGGACTGTCAATTTTTAAGGTGATCAGTTCAATCTACATTATTTTTAAAGCTTTAAATTTTACAATTAAATATAAAAATATATTTTAAGATTATCATAAAGATTTTCAATATTAAAACCATATTTATCGGCACTAAAGGTGTGCTTTACATGGATTGTTTAGAGCCTCATACAAACCGCACCCTTTTATATATGGGGCGGTCTATTTCCCTTTCAAATCAAATAAAGAGGTCACTTTCATCCTTTACCTTGGACTCCACGAAAATCATTTAATGGAATAATTTTCAAGGAAAAGGGTAGTTTGGATATTTTATGTAGTTGAAAAAGTCTAGATGGTGATGATGATGGCCGACTAGACCAACCGAATCAATTGCGACAACTTTGGTTGTCGGATTTTCTTGGGAAAATAGTTATAAATTGTTGCAAGTAAGGGTGTAAATGTTTTAGGTTGAATTGGGGTGGACATGAATTGGAGGGTGGCAATGGGCTGGGTGGCCCGGCCCGTCATACTGGCCCAAAATAAATTAGGGCCTTTGAGGGTCACGCTTGGGCTAGGCCAAGCTACACCCAAACCAGTTTCATGAGCCCAGCCTTTATTTTCTCTTTTTCTTTTTTTCCTTGTTTTTCTTGAATTTTACTTGGTCGAACCTGACTTGATAGGGCTAGAGCCGGGCATGAACCGGCCTTCAGGGGTATAAAGCCGGGCTTGGCCCAATGTCAGCCCTAGACTGGGTCCTAGTTGGAGCCTGACCCAGGCCGGTTAGGTCCATTATCTTCAAATTCAACAAGAAAATATAAATTATTATATATATATATATGAAAAAGTTTATATAGAGCCTAAGCTCTAAACAATCAAATTAGAGCCTACCTCAAAAATTTCACTAGAAGGGGTTGCTTTGATGCCCAAATATCCTCAAATTGAACATCTCGAGATCAAGATGCATGGAGCTAAGAAAAAAAAATGGATTTCAAGTTTTGGAAATATTGTAATTTGTAACGTATTTTTGGACGGTTAATTTTTAAGTTCTTCAAGTTTTCATAAATCTGCTTAATCTAAACTATTTTTTAAGCTTTAAAGTTTACAATTAAAGATGAAAATATATTTTAAGGCAAGTTAAAGATTTCCAGTATTGAAACCGTATTTCTTGACACTATTTTAAGGTGGGCTCTAATTTGATAGTTTAGAGCCTCGGCCATATATATATATATATATATATATATATATATAGGAAAACTCTAAAAAATGGCTGTAGGCGAAATTGAATAGTATTTCACTCCGCCACGGATCTACGGGAGCCGTGGCAGTTTCTCGGTTTCTTGTGGTCGTTTCCGTTGCGGTCTTTTAATCTACACGATCCAAAAAATCGAACAACGCCGAGCCTATGGGCGAAAACACTGTTCATTTTTTCCCATAGGCATTGCGTAGTGGCTTTTATATATATATATCCTTGATGAATCCGCACCTGAATCAAACCCAGATCGGGTCCAAGTCAAATGGACCAAGACTCGAACCACAAGGTTATTTGAGTACAAACCTAGACACATGCCAGTTTGACTTGCTAGATCACTGGGTAAACCCGACCCAACCTCATTGCCACCCTTAACTTTGAAGGCATACATGTAACTAAAAGAAGCGGGCATCCAAGTAAGGATCTTCTTGTATCTTTGTAAAATTGTGACTTGGCTTTGGCTTCATTATTTCTTAAGCAGCCTTCGGTGGATGAGATATTGGAATTTACCCCTCAAACACCAACTGAGAGAGAGACACTTAGAATATTTTCCTGTGTGTAGGTGACTGAGATATTGGAATTTGCCCATCAAAGACCAATAGAGAGAGAGAGATAGATAGATAGATAGAGAGAGAGAGAATATTTTCCTATGTGTGGGTGGTTGAGATATTGGAAGTTGCCTCTAAATAATCAAAACACAGAGAGAGAAAGAGAGCTGTTACATACCAACCAGAGAGGAATTTGGCCTTGGACCTCCAATTCTCCTTCCCATCTCTCTTGCCTTATGCTCTCCCACGCTACATGCTTCTTCCTCACCTCAGTATCCCTCACCAGAACAGTATTAGCCTGCGGAGCACCACTAACTCCTTCCAAGGCTACATTCATAACCCTAAGTTTCAATGGCAAATTCATCCCATGAGAGCCTTTTTTTCCATGCCCTGAAAGCTTGCTATCTCCTAACTTTGATGAAACAATGTTGTTTCTGATCACCCCAAAGCTTGTGAAAGCCATGAGAGCGTGAAAAAGAGAAGGTGAAGGCTCACAAAGGCTATAAACTTCATGACACAAAGCTGACATATATATATGGAATGGTTCATGGAGGAATCTTGAATGTTTTGAATTCTTTTAGAGAAGGAACACACTCAATATTTACCCAAAAAACAAAAAAAGGGACAAATCAATATTGTCTCCAAAGCAATGATAATTGATGACTATATTGCCCCTTATTCTATTCAGGACACTGTTTCTATCAATCCATGAAGAAATGAGTCATCCCTTAAAAAATTATTTTTGAGATGTATTTTCGACTTAATTTTTAAGAACATGTCATCTCTAAATTGGAGATCGTGAATACAAAAAAAAAATAAACTTTAAAAGTTAAAAATAATAACTCTATTGAAAAAACATTTGGACTGTTAATTACAATTGTTTTTAAATGGATCGCATATTTCTATCCATCTTTAATGTGGATGCTTTACACTTCGAGGACGGCAAACGTGGAATGATGTCCCTGCCGCATGAAACAATTTTCTTTCTATTAATCAATGACCAAAAGCATAACTGCACTAAATATTCCTCAAAAATTACCAAACTTCCCCTTGCCCATTGGAGTATTTCAGTTGGAGCTTGCCCAACCAAGAGAAAGGTGATCCTAGAGAGAGAGAGAGAGAGAGGGCTTGCCCCACAAAAGCGGGGGTGGGAGCTTTTTTTTTTTCTTTTATTTTTATTTTTATTTTTATTTTTGGGAGAGTTTTTTCTGGATCGAGTGAGAGAGAGAGTAAATAGGAGCCTGCCCCACCAAAGGAGAGAGAGAACTTGGGGAAGAGAGGCTTTTGAAGGTTTTTTTTTTCAATGTGGAGAGAGAGAGAGAGAGAGGAGGTCG